TGGAGTCAGGATGGTAATCCCAAGCTTTCCTCCCGAAGGCTCAAGGCAGGCCCCAGCCCCATTTTCCTAACTGCTGACAACGTCCTTGCGCGAGTCCACCCTGCTGTGACCGGCCACATCACACAGGCGCACTGTGTGATGACCCCAAGCACATGCGACGCCCTTTTAAAATTTATTTTATTTTATTTATTTAAACACTTGCACAGAACGCTCCTTGGAGACTTCCTGAACCTTTTGTGAAGTCAGAAGGGTTCCAAATAATGCCATGCTCACTTTTGATTTTTGTGCAAAAAAGGTATTTTCGGCACTCCTAATGGTCTTATTGCAAGAAGTTGACCTGAAATGTTTACTTAAGAAAAACCCTAATATAATTCCATGTTAATAAAAATAATGCCTCCAGTTATTCATACATATTTTTCTATGTACTTATGGAAAGATGCCTAGTGTTTGTGTTCTGATATTACCGATGACCGTTTCTCAGTAATGGAATAGGGAGTGATTGACTCTTGATAGTGAGCCTATATTATTTTCTGAAACAACAACAAAAGAAGAAAAGTAAGACAGGAAGGAAATATTCTAAGATGTTAACAGTGTTTGGTTTGGAGTCATAGGGATGTGTTGTCATTGATTTTTTGTGTGTAATTATTTTTAAATTAAACAACAACAACAACTGCTTGGCATTCATCAATGAAAACGTGTTAGCAGCAACCACCACGTGCAGCGTTAGCCCTGCTGTCTAGCCTGGACGTGAGAAGGCAACAAGTGTGACTCCACATCGACTCTCAGCCAGACACAAAATGTCTGAGGAAGTAGCATCACGAAAACATGACAACTACTTTGCGACGTCACTTTCTGTCCAACAATAATCATGTAGGATTCATGTGAAATTCTTCCACCCTAGAGAATGTTACCACAGACCACAGGTTCCTGCTCCGAGGGAAAGTTCTTTCGCCAGGAAAACTACTAAAGAGTTCTTTGGGAAGACCAGATGACCAAGGGAGGGATGCTTTGCTGGCCCGGGGGTAGTTTTTATGCCCACTACTTCTAAGGAAAGAAAGAACCTAACTATGCTTACAACTCAGGAAAGCTGAGTTATAACTGTCTGCTGTTGTGCCAGCGAGCATCAATATCCTCCGCTCCTCTTTCCCTTCAAACATCAAAACCACGTAACCAAAACCCACCCAAGCTATCTACTAGAATTAAAGCTTGGGGAAACATCAGGAATAGAAAAAACGGAGTAGTGAAGTGTGAGGAACGCGTCCTCTAAACTACCTCCTCTCCCTCGCTAATTTACTACAAAGAAGCTTGGCACAGCTGTTTCTGCTCTAGATCCTCAAGCCCAGGAATCAGATTTCTAGCACTGCATTCAGTTTTACATTTCATTATAACTAAACAATTGACAGACATCTTCAAATTCCTTCCAATGGAAATTTACCTGTAAGATGCCATCATCAGCGGCCTCCATTTCCCTAATTCAAATGTTAGAGCCATTTCCATTTCTCTTTCTTCCCCAGTCTATCACCCCATTTCTTCTTTCCATCCTCTCTTTAAACATTACCTTTCCCTCACTTTAATAACCCTGGAGCAGGTCCTAGATACCTGGTTGAAACAACTGTCTCTTACCAATCTTCCCTCCAATTCCTATCTTCTTCATTTCTATACAAAGCAATAAGAATTATCTTCCCCCAACAGCTGTTGTCAGTAATAAGAAAGCTAAAGTCTGTGACTAAGCTAAACATCCCTTCTGTTCTCTAAGGTCTACAATGGTTCTTAGTTGCTAGTCATCACAATTGTAATTCCCAAATACTGATTATGATGTCCCCTATAAACTGTGCTAGTACCTCAACGATCTGCCCACATTTTCTACATATTCCAGCTCATATTCTTTATTCCATTTAGTAAGTAACCATGTATTACCATGATGAATTCAGTTCTTATTTTCATTTCTTCCCACTATGGTAGGGGCTATTTGCTGTCCTTTCTACTTACTCTCCCCATCTTTCTTAATAATAGACTCTTCATCGGATACGTGGCTGTCCCTTAGAAAGCCTACCTTCATTAGCCTCCCTTGTGGCTAGAAGACTCCATGTGACTAAGTGGAAGCAATATGTAAGTCAAAATGTTATGAGCAATGTCAATAAGTGTCCTTAAAAAGGAGGAAACTCATGTGCTCAACCTCTTTGGTACTGGTGAGAACGCAGATGTGGTGGCGGGCGCTCAGGCAGTAGCTTGGATCATGAAACGGAATCACGTATTTGATGGTGTGAAAAGACAGAAAGAGCCCTGGTTCCTCAATACATGAAGAGTGATGACAGTCTAAGAATGCCTAGCTCTGTATTACTTTAGAAAAGTCCTATAATGTTTAAGCCATCACTATTTTTGTGGCCTTTATCACTTAGGGGTGTGCCAGTTTCTAAGTGATCCACCCATCTCCAAGTTCTCCTTTGCTGCTTCTCCTGTCTCACTGAAGATGACCCAGTATGTTTTCCTACAGTTCTCTCACACACACACCCCCACATTGTCAATTTCCTCTCTTCCTTTAAAATACAGCTTCAGATTCCAATGCTATGTGGAGTTAGTATTACTAAGCCTGCCTAACTCACTTACTCTGGAATACACACACACACCTTTACAGATCTAGTATAAATGTGCATAAATGGTAATGGGTAAATGACATTTTAAAGTAATGTAACAGATTTTTAACAAACTTACATTCACTTTAAATAGTACTCTTACTGTAGATTCACTTGAGTGATAAGATCACTGACCAAAACTCTCTTTAACATCTTTTCTTGAAACGGACGTGCGAGCTCATCGCTAGATATAACCTTCACGAAAACAGAAACACATTCCATTTGCTTAGAATGGTGTTGGCACATCGTCAGCTGGTGTGCAATACATGTTTGTAGTATTAAAACATTGTAGTAAATTTTCATTTGAAAGTGGATTTTTTTTAAGTAGTCAAAAGTCATTCAGAGCTCACTCTAGTAAGATACGTTACAAAGCTAGAGAATATCATTTGGATAATTTTAAAAAGCAATAAACTAGATTTCCTTGTATGAATCATAAAAATGGCTCAGAGTTGAGCTACTCTTGTACCAATTTAAGAACTCATTTTCCATGCTTTCAGCTAAGCATGACAAGCTCACTCCGCTTCAGAACACTTGCACCTGTTATTCCTCTGCCTGAAACACCCCTGACAAACACGCCTTGCTCCCCCACTTCATTCAGGTCCCGATTTGAATCTTCACCTCCCTCCAGGCAGCCTTCCATCACTACCCCTCCGAAAGTAAACCCCTGATCACTCTCTGTCTCCTGACCCCACTTTCCTTCTCTTCCGAGGACTTGCCACTATTTGACATAATGTTTTAGAATATGTCAACTTTGCTTATGTGTTTATGCCCGTCTGTCTCTGTCACTGGAATATTTGCTCCAACATGAAAGAGATTTTGATTTATTTACTGTGGGCTCCAAATTTCTGCTAGGCAGCCAGACTTCAAATAATAAATGTGATAACTATACATTTATAATGAAGAGGGGGGATGGAGAAAGGAATAGCAAGAGATGCAGCAGAGATGTACCAAAGGGGTAAGGAGACGCTGGATGAGTCATAATTGGTTATTTCACTGGTATTCCTTTTTCATGTCAGTTTGAATCAAGGCTTCCATGGGAAAATTTCAGCATGGGTCTCTCTTTTGGAGACGTAGTTCAAAAGGTACAGGGAGCCAGCCGAAGGGAAGGGGTTGCAGTCTTTCTAGAAGCACGGAGCAGTGTTTTCATTAGAATGACAAAGGCTACCCCGTCCATCTTTTTATGTACCAGTCCTTCCAAGTGTAAACTAAGTGTAAACTGACTCAGGCAAGTAGTGAATAGCAGAAGTTTGCTCCGTTAAAAAATGGAGATTTTTCAAATGTCCATACTCAAGTAACATTTGGACTATCTATTCATATTGTATACAGCAGCCACCCTTTGGAGAGCAGCAGATCACACCATCCCTTACATGTATTTTTTCCTGTACGCACCTAAGATAACGTTTTGTTTTTAAATTACGCGTGCTAATAGATGAACAGTAGCCGCTGATAATAAAATGGAACAACTACACCAATGTGCTTTAATAAAAGTTATGTAAATGTGGTCTTTCTTGCTCTCAAAATATCTCGTTGTACGTATTTTTGGACTCTGGTTGACCACAGGTTAACTAAAACCACAGAAAGCAAAACTGAGTGGGGACTACCACACCTGTAGAATCTTGCTTAATACATGTTTGCGATACAGCTGGGAGGTGAACCTTTGAAAACTCCTGCAAGTGTGTTGTGCCAATAAGACCTTCACTACTTACGGCGCAGAGTTCAGAGAAGTCACATTTCATGAACATACAACTTAAAATTAATGCAGTGCCTTTTCAAAGCTTTTCAGCAAGTTTTGTACCAGAGAAGTTAGGGCACAGTGACATTCCTTAGTGTTTTAGCAAATATGGCAGAAAAATTACTTTCTTTCTCCTACTGATTTCTATTATAATAAGTCCCCCTACTGCAAAAGCTCAGCTGTTCAGACATAAAGCTTTGGGAATGGGTCATGTCACACGGGCACTGTCCTGGAAGAGATTCAGAACACTGTCAGAATTCGGAGCACGTTGCAGAAAATGTCCCTTCCTGATTTTCAAAACTCCGGTGTAGGGCACACATACCAGGTCCGCGGTCCTGGAAAGTAGTTTCCCTTCACATCCTAGCTACTAGTAAAATCTCCCAAATGAATCACCATGTGCCGTGGAGTAGTCACTAGCTTGATGCCTTTTAAACTCCAAAACATTTCAGCGGAACCCCAGTCATCACATTCAGAGAAGTCTTACGTTTTCTACTGAATAACAGTCTCCGCTTTGCTGTCTGTGGTATCGAGTCTGATAGTAAGTGCAGAACAGCACAGTGTGAACATGTTAGTACTAAAACCTGATGTTTAACATCTACATCTACTGCATTTTAGGCCAAGTTCATTATACGTACTTTTACTACGCAGCCTCGCAACCTTAAGGAGCTTATACTTCTTCTCTGAAGCAGGAAGGTCTGGCGTGGTGGCAGAAGCGCATGCTGTGGGTGAACTCCCTGTGCCAGGAGGTCTTTTAGGGAATGACATAGAATAGGAGGTCCGCCGTCTTGTGCGACATGCGACTTCTCTCTCTTTATACAGCAACTGTTCATCCATCAGCAGTGTTATGACTTGCTTGGATTTTTCCCGGATATAATAACCTGAAAGATACAGTGAATTTGCTTAGAAAAGAAAATATCAGGTGAGACAGTTAGTTTTTATTCTGAGGAAAATTAGGAGAAGATGAGAAAACTCAGTATCTTGTAGCAAATAAGGGGAAAATGTAAATTTCAATTAAATGATCAATATCTGCTTTCCTAATACTTCAAGAAACAAATACAAATATAAAGTCATGTCATACATCGACGATACATTTTCCACTTTAAATAAGTTATTCTATTTTCCTTTTAAAAGTAACACCTACTGTGCAATAAATCAGATACTCAGACCAACAAGGAAGAGGAATGCATTAAACCTAGACATGTAAACTGTGACATCTAGCTAAAGATGGAAACCGTAGGTATAATATGATTCACTAGGTAAAGCGCACGTGAACTAAGCCACTAAGTACGTACACACAAGGAAGAAGCAGATAAAGAAAAGTGAGTGGACAGCTGGACAGGTAGATGGATGGATGAGTGGATGGAGGGCTGGTGAAGACACAGCTGTGCTTCCACATTACCCAGAACCCACTGCCTGGAGAGACACCACTGGGGAAGGGCGCGAGAGAGGAGGCAACAGGCTTCTCTTTGGCTTATGCCAGACACCATCCACTGAGCACCAGGACAAGCCAAGAGCAGAGTGCCAGCTACAGCACTGCCCTCCCCATCTGTGCCACTCGGAGCCAGCCGAGAGGTCTGCTGGGCCTGAGTTTCCTATCTGAACACCTGTCTAGGCACATTGTATAAGCATCTGATTGGTCTAACTCACAGGAAGGAAATTATATTCATTCAAATATATGGTTTTATTCACCTCACCCTCTCCAGGACAAATAACAAAAGGAATCGCTTACCTCTCATATGAACATCTCATTTCTCCCCAAGTCATCTTCAAGGAGTAAACTGAAAAGTCCCTAATGATCCAGGACCACTTTCACTTAACTCCATGTGTGATAAATTAAAAGGTAATGTTCCCAACTACAATTTACTGGTAACAGAGGTCATGAGAAGCCGTCAAACTCAGGGTATCTTCAGATGATGGGGCCAGCGAGGGTCTCCACCTGCCAGCCACTTCCAGGTTGGTACCAACAGTCAGCCTTTCCTCACATTCCCATCTTTCCCACGATCATTTTATCTAACCTCACTCCTTATCATTCTTACTTCTAAACTTCCTTCATAATTGCTTCAAATCTCATCATTCTGAACACTCATAATTTCCTTTAATTAGCTTGTTATCCATAAGCCACTCTCAAAACACAGCGTGTTTAGGGTTACCACTCTGTGTCGTCCATGGTAGAGGTCAACCTTGACTGTTGGCTGTCAGGGACGACACACCCGACCTTACCTTCGCCTCCCGATTGGCAAGGCTCGGTTTTGGGGCATGTGTGCATAAAATTCATTTTCCATTCTTAACTTCACAAATTCGTCTTTCCACTGTCCCCTCACTCCCTCTCTTCTAGTCTCTCTAGCTGCCTCTTCTACTGTCCCAGACCACTCGTGTTGCCTTACAGCATCGTGCTAGCTGTTGTTTCCGTGTGGCAAGATTCCTGGCTCATTCCGGTTTCCACTCAAATGTCTCCTCCTCAGTGATGCCTCCTTCTGCCCACCTCTCTAAAACAGCCCCACCCCCAATGTGAATAGCTAAAGCAGTCTTGAAAGAAAAGAAAAATGGAAGTGTTATATCCCCTAACTTTAAACTATATTATAAATCAACAGTAATTTGAAGAGGATACTTGCAATATAGATAGATACACGGATCAATGGAATAGAACCAAATGCACAGAGATAAATCCAGGCAGATACCCACACCAAATCTATGGGAAAAGAGCCATGACCATATGTAGAAGCAAAGGAAATCTCTTTAGCCAGTGTGCTGGGAAAACTGCACAGTGAGACAAGTAAAAGAAGGAAGTTGGGGCCCTAACTCCACACACACACACACAATCAGAAATAGACTGAAGACTTGAATATATAAGAACTGAAACCATAAATATAGAAGAAAACAAGGAAATACGTTCCATGACATTAATGACAAAGTTGGGGGGGGGTAGAAATCAAGCCCTGTGGCAAAGAAAGGAAATGAAAATCAGAATAAACCTTTGGGATTATATGAAATTAAAAATCACATACAGGACAAAAAATAATAGACTAAAAAGACAATCTACAGAATAGGAGAAGATATTTACACACAACCAACAGGGGTTAATATTCAAGCACACAAAGAAATCCTCTAACTTAACAAAAATTGAAATTAAAACGTGGGCAGAAAATCCTAATAGACACATTTCCAAAGAGGACACACAGATGGCCAACAGACACAAAAACATGTCATCGTGGCTTCTAGGACGGGCGATGCCAATCAACACCACCCTCGGGCACTGCCTCACAGCTGCGAGAATGGCGCACGTCAACGACCCACAACACAGAATGAGGCGCACAGGAGCCCTCGGCACGGTCGGTGGGAACGAAAACAGATGCAGCCATTTTGGGAAGTGGTTGGACTATTTCAAAAGCTCTAAGCAGAAGCCCCACATGAGCCAGCAGCTGGACCCTCTCTGAGAACCATGGAACCACGAACGTAACAAATCATACGTGCGGCAACATTCGCTGCAGCAACATCACGATCACTTGGTGCCTCTGACAGGTGACTGGGTAAGAAGCTGTTATCCGGACACGCACTACGGCCCGCTTCAGCTGTAAGGAAAAAGGAAATTCTGCCATATGCGGCAAAATGGGAGGGATCTGAGAATGATTATGCGAAAGAAAATGAACCAGAAAAACACTGGATGATTTCACATACGTGGGGAATATAAGGAGTCAAAGCAGATGAGCCGAGAAAGCAAAACAAACATAAACCCATGGACAAGGTAAACTGAGGTCACTGGGGCGACTGAGCTTACCAAGGATGGGGGAGGTGTAGGGAAGGGTGAAGATGGTGAAGGGATGGTGGTGGGGCTTTTATTTTCTTCCAGAACTAACAGAGCAACATGTGAGTAAGATGGCCCCGTGCCCTCATCCCATCCCGTCAGTCTGCTCTCGCCTCAGCATTATCACCACCCACTAGCGGATGGGAGGTGCATTTGTATTCTTGTTTACTGCCAGAGAGTCATTCACCCAGTATCTTCATCGTCTATAAAAATGACTGGCACATAGCAGTTAGTAAACATTTACCAGGTGCATAAACTGACAGAGGCCCAGGATCTTCCTCGACGTGTGCACAGGGAATCCGAAGGGTGAAAGACGTGAGCGCCTGTTCACAACTTGGCGACCTGGGAAAACCGCTTGGCGTGAGATCATTTCCTGCAACACCTCATTGGGAAAGGACAGAAATGGAAGTGAGGGGACACACGTGGAGTCTGCTATTCGGAGTCTGCGAGGATGGGCGGGCGCTGCAGGCAGCCGAGAGTTCGAGGGCGAAGCGAGCGCACCAGGGACAAAGGCAGCTGAGTGGAGGAGGACTCTCCCGACACATGGGGGCCTGCCGGGGAGCAGGCTGCCTTCAGGACGGCCAGGGCACAGCAGTGACCGAAAAGGGTGCAGAAACCACCCAGAAAGGAAGGTCCCAATCAAGGCTGTGGCGACCTGTCACCGTCAAGATCCGGGGCACCGAACCTGGCTGCCCTGAAGCATCAGAGAGGAAAGCGAAACCACTCTGAGACAAACCCAGGCCAACAGGGACGTTGTCAATGATGACAACAGTGAGAACACCACAGAGACTACTCATTCCAACAAACATGTTTCTAGAAAGGAAGGAAGAAGCACCTGCCGCCAACGGAGCAAGCAATCGTAAGGAGGCACAAGACTGACTCACACGAGGAGTCGGGGGCAAGGGGTGAGCACAGCACTGACCCAGCTGAAGAACCAAGACCCGCAGGCGCCAAGGCCTGGGTTACAAAGCATAAAATCAAAGCAGGCAGCAGACTGTGGTAGGCGTGTCTGTCACACACCTGAAAGGTGAAAGATAAAGACATGGAGGTGGGCCCACTGTGGGGTCTCCTGTCCCTTTCAGCTCGCATTCAAAGTCAACAACCCCGGGCCCACAGGCGCCTCCCAAGGAGATGTGTGTACTGGCAGTCTCTGCACCAGCAGCCCTGCCCACCTGCGTGCCCGTTCCCACCTACTCTCCTTCTGCGGGGCAGCAGCCTGCTGCCTGCTGGCGACCTGCACCTGCCGGGACTTCTCTGCACTGACCTCCCTCAGCAGAGGCCGCTCTCCTGAGGCCGCCGGCCTGTGACCATGCAGGCCTCTCTAGCAAACCTGCTGCTGCCCAGTCTGTGCCTTTATTTTATTTCTTTGCAAACTGTCTCCTTCCATGTGGCCATGGCTAGGGCCTCAGACAGCTCCAGGTTCACCCCTCTGCCACCTAAATAGTCTCCTTTTCCTTCACCGAGAAGTCCAGGAGACTGTCTCTGAGTGGCCCAGCTTGAGCGTCACAGAGCCATCACTATGGCTACAGGGGAGGCTGCAGCGGGCGCCCCCAGAAGTAGGACACAGAGGGAAAAAGCCAACAGGACAGACATGGACGCCAGCCCACATGAGGCTGAGGATGAGGTCACACACTCCCCGGACAACTGTGCAAGAGCAGGAGCCGAGGACCTGCCTCTGCGGTCACCAGCTCTTTTCTGGAACACTCAGGTTTCAGGAAAGTTCTCAGCAGCAGAGGCACCGGTGAGCTCGCGGTCCCTACACCAGGTGACTCCTGGTAAAAATCAAGGAAATAAAGAGGATGTGCTAATCAACTTGGGGTGCGGGCAAAGAAGGTCTTAGTGACGGAGTAAAACATCACCTGAGTCTTGAGCAGCAAGGAAAGGCCAGTCCCGTGGAGCCGCAGAGCGCCAGGCAGGGGGAGCCCCTCAGCCTTCAGCCTGCAGGGAAGCCTCCAGATGGCTAGCGCCCTCTTGGCCTCCACATACCCCAGCCCCAATTCACACTCTGAGAGCACCCACACTGGTCTTGACAGTACTTCCGGTTCCTAACTGCCTTTTTATTTGGGAAGTGTCTTT